GCAGGAGCTCACATCACAAATTTAAGCTTAAAACACAGAACTTAAATTTCTTACCATTATAGAGTCTGGCAGTCCAAGATCCAGGTGTCAGCAAGTCTGTTTTCTTCTAATGCCCATTGCCTTGGTATGCAGATGGCTACCATCTTGCTGTGTCCCCACACAGTCATCCCTCTGTTTCATTTATGTCTTAATGTTGTTATAAAGATACAAGTAAAATTGATTAAAGCAAATACTAAAAACTCTACTCTGACTGAATTACCTCTTTAAAGGCCCTACCTACAATACAACAATAATCTGAAGTACTGAAGTTTACCACTTCACCTTACGGATTTGAGGAGAATATAACTGGGTCCAGAGAATCTGTCTTAAGCCTGGGGACACAATTCCAGAATTAGAAATGGGTTCTATAGACTAGAAGAAGCCATATTTTCTGCACAGTGTTAAATACATAATATTGTTATGCAACCAGTTCCCATATCCATTTTCATCTTTTAAAACTGAAACTCTATACCTGTTAAAGAACTAGTCCTTGTTTCCCCATCCCTTGTTGTGGTGTGAACTAATAAATACAATCAATAAGAATGTAAGTTATGGATTATAGATATTAGTAAAAAAATACAGATTATTGATATAAGATTTTGATAAGTGACATAAGACAATTATAAAGCAAGAACTGTCATAGACAGGCCCAAGATTTTGCTTCCTTCCATTAAAAAAAAAAAAACTGTTACAAGAGCTGTTTCTGAGAAACTGAAATGAAAGCTGTTTTCTTATATTGTTTTCTGTACATTGTACCCCACAAAATGTACTCAACCCAGGATATGGTGGTCTTGATGACCCAAGACTTTGAAGTAGATTCTAGCCCCCACTAACCACCTGCTTGAACTCAGGATACAGTTGTCTAACACCTGCTCAAACCCAAGGTGCAATTGTGAGATGCTGTGCTAAGTGCTGTCTTAGCTTCTACGACTGGCTTGCTTGTGTGACGCTAAGGAAAGCCCCTGTGGTTGTGTTTTTTGGCTTTAAGTTTTTCGGCTTTAAGTTTCCAGGATACAGGCCAGGAAATTGCTGTTCTCCCTCAGAGCTTCAGTCCCTACAGGTGGGTGACAGTCCCTGGCCAGGTAAATAAAGCTCTCATTGATTTGAATTCTCACTTAGAGCGTTTTCTGAAGCGGCTCCCCATCACACCCCAGGCCCAGACAGGCACCATTCTGCAATCCATCTCTAGGACTCTGACTACTCCTGGTGCCCCGTAAAATTGGAAATACACAACATTTGTCTTTTTTGTGACTAGCTTATATCATATTATGCCCTGGGATTCATCGATGGGGTAATGTGTGCAGGGTTCCTTCTCTCCTGAGGCTGAGCAGTACCTTGTGTGTGTGTCAACACACATATCAACGCACTATTGACGACGTGAATGATGCACCCGTGATGTCAGAGGAGGGCGCCAAACTTGAAAGGGTGCCTCGTGAAGCTAGTGCAGGAAGCGTGGGAACTGCATTACGGAGCAGCCAAGAGATGCGGTGCCCGCGGCATCCTGGGCCTGGAGTCCATGGTGCAAAGGTGAGTCAGGGGGGCCAGGGGTCCCCGACAGCGAGAACCCCACAGCTCACTGAGGCTTCCCCACCTTGGCAGTATTAAATTCAAGAAGAGCCCAGATTTGAGGGACAAACCCTGACAATGACCCCACATTCCCACCCCACCCCTTAGTAAAAACCACCACATTGGAGACTGAATCTGTAGGAGTGAGGGTCCTGTCTGAGAGCACTTCCCCGTGCAAACCACCTCTCACCCCAACCTCTGGAAGTAACTGGAGAAATGGGCACCCCACTTGGAATGAGGATGCCCCCATTTTTTGTAGAAACTCACCCTTTCTGTGACTAAGAGGGGCCTTCATTCTCCCAGAAGTGAGAACTCCTTAGCAAAGACTTTCCCTTTCACTATCACCCTAGGAATGAGCTTCCTTCATCTGTGTAGTGCCCCAGACATAACCTTACACCCTGTCCCCACAGGCTGTGTCTGGGCCAGGGGGCTGACATCTGGGCCTACATCTTGCAGCATGTGCATAGTCAGAGGTGAGCCAGTGGGATCAGGGGAGGGTGCCAGGAAGAGGGCACAGGCAAGTCTCACAGTAACTCCTCTTCCTCCACTTCTCCACTATAATAGTGTCAAGAAGATCCGGGGAAACTTATTGTGGTAAATGCTTCTCAATGTTGTCCCATACTATCTTCTCCAGTCCCATCTGGCCTTGTCCCACAGTCTTACACTTCCTGCCCTTCCCTCTGCAAGCCCCACACATATCCTAACTCTGGCATGGTTTCTTCAGGTATGGCCACCAGGACAGTCCAGAAGGGAAAATTCCATGCTATAAGATTCCCTTCCACCCAAGAAAGAACTTGTACATCTTTTGCTCTAGGCCCTGCTTGGTGCTGGATATGCTGGGGTCAGAGGGTCACAAAACAGCCCTAATCCCTGCATTCCTAGGCCATCAGTCCAGGGGGAGCCAGAAATCAACTGGTGTAATGGCACAGTTGGGGGTATGCCCCATCAAAGCTAGTGAGGGGAGAAGGGGAATGGGACAGATTTGGAGAGATGAAAAGGCTAGGGTGGGATCCAATTGGTGCAAGGAACCTAAATGACATCCAGGGGGAGGCTTTGAGGAGACCTCAGGACACCTCAATGTAGGAGTTAGAAAGAGATCACCACTGAGATGGAAATGTATCACTAGCACAGACAGACAACAAGCTGGGAGGATGTGAAACAAGCTCAGGAGGAAAGAAGGAGCCAAAGAGTACACCAGTGCTTCTGCACAGGAAAACTCCTCATCCCTGGCAGTTGAGGAGCCTGGTGCCTTTCAAAAGGTAGTCAGGCCAGGCTAAGCCAGAGTCAGAGCGAGCATCTGACCCTACACCTGATCCTACGAGGTCTGTCAGAAGTTGGAGCCAGAAGCCACATTACAGCCCACCTGCAGGCAGAGATCCAAGAGTTACACCAGAGCATGGAGCTGATGGAGCAAGAAACTGAGGCTCAGGATGACAGCTGAGGCCAGGAAGAGGGGCAATATAATGCTGGGTGGCTGTGGAACAGGTGCAACAGAGCACATGGGACACCTAACATCAAGCTCTCCTAATGGCCCAAACTGGGGCCCAGCAAAGACAGCAGCATGGACTTCGAGACCCAATATAGCAGCTGCAGAATCAGCTCAGACACGTATAGAACATAGAGAGGTGGGCCTCATCTGCCCAAGAGACCAGCTTTCACAAGGTGGCCATACATTCTCCCTAGAGATCCCAGTGTTCTTCCCAGATCCTTACTGGGTTCCAGAATTCTGAACACCCAACCATAGATTTAAGTTTCATAAGACCAGGGAGTTAGGTCATCTTATATACCTGTATTTCCAGTGCCAGGAATAGTACCAACTGTACATCAAGGACACCATGTCTACGGGAACACAGTAGACACAGGACAAGCCCCTAACCCCTTGGACTTTATGCTTTGATGCAGAGAAGGCAGACTGCAAACTAGGAAACAGATCCTGTCATTTTGGGGAGAAATAAGTTCAATGAAGAAAAGACTGTGTGACCAAGGGAAAGATGTTTGCTACCTGAGCTAGGATGCTCAGGACAGGACTCTCTGAGGAGGTAACCTGGGTTGGGGTTATTCATGGAGAGGGAACAGCCAGAGCTCCAATCTTGGCCTTCAGGAAGAGCTTCCAAGAGGCAAATACAGCTCAGTATTTGAAGACAGGAGGGACAAATGAAGAGGTGAGGTAGGAGAAGCAGTCAGAGGGCTCTGGAGGCATAGGAGTTTTACTGGTAGATGGAGTTCATGCCCCGCCTTGGCCATTTATAACTGTGTGAGCTTGGGCAAGGGACTTAACTTTTTTGTACCTCAATTTCTAAGATTGATTGAATCAGCTAATGTTCACACCAACCTTTTAGAGTAGGTATGATAATGAGGTGAGTTAAATCACCTATAGCACTAAAGAGATTGCCTGTTCTCCACTGTTGTCATTCTGAACATGTCAGGAAAAGGTCCCACTGTCGTGGAGGGTTTTGAGCAGTGACTTCATCTTCCCCAGGTTGTATGAAACATGATTTTCTGACCACTGGGTGGAGAACAGACTACAGGGGTGAGAAACAGAGAGACCAGTGAAGGGGGCTCCTGCAGTAGTCCTGCCAGGATATAAGGGTGGCCTAATCTTAGAGGTGGCCCCTAAGACCCAGGCTCAGCAAAATCTGTGACTAGCCAGGCTGGCAGTATGGGGCATAGACACCTGTTCTCCCAGGTACAACCTGCCCCAACTGTACTCCTTCCTCCAGGAAGGCCAAAGTGAATGTTTCCTTTGGGCCCATGACATCAGCAGCTGTGGCCCTGGATCCTGTGATCCTGGTGAGAGTCCTGGGCCATGGGAGTAGGAGTAATGAGTCTGGGGCCAGGCAGATGCCTGGGTTTGGCCATATCCTTTCCACTCCTAAGCGAGATATGTGAACAGCCTGCCTTTGCCAGGCCCAGTTCCTTCAGAACCTCCTGATTCTCCAGGCCAGAGAAGGAATCTTACCATGAGCATCCGCAGGCCCCATGGACCCTACAAAGAACGTGGATTGGCGGGCAAAAAGTCATTTATTCTTCCTACAAGGAATTCTGGGGTATACGAGGCCCATGCCCAACCCCGCCAGGACTCCCAAGCTGGGACCCGTTGTAAATAGTGACAGCCAGGTGATCAGGCTTTTGAGGTTTGGGAAACCTCAGAATCTGTGAACATCCAGAAGAGGCTCTTACACAGCTAAGGAAGCAAGTAGGGAAGAGGTTCTTTGGTGATTAGATTTAGCTAAGGTTTGAGAAGATGAAGTCTATTTATACGTCCGTTTTGAAAGTGAAAGCGCAGAATCCTGTATTGACCAATCACGTGAGTGCACAAGACCACTGTACCAATCAACTTATAGGTTGGAGCATCATTGCACCTGCAACCAGCCAATAGAAGTAGAAAAACGGGCTAGGAGGTGGGGCCTGCCTGGTCTCCATGGCAATTGCCGGTGACTTATGCGAGCTTCTGTGTAGTCCAAGTAAGGCCAGATCCAGCTGCCCTAATGGTAACTTTTAAGCTGAGCAGGCAGGAGCGGGAGGAGGGGAAGGGGTGTGGGGAATGATGGGGACAGGATTTTGTTAACAAGCGCATAGAAAAGTATTTGGAAGGGGCACAGATTAGAACAGAGAGGCTATTCAAGGTAGATGGAGAAGTAGTTGAAAAGATCAGGAAGCTGGTCGGGGGTAGAAAGAAGTTGTTAGAGGGACACGGGACACCAATTTATAAGGGGTCAGAGAATAGACTAGATAGATAATAAGGGAAAAGGAGTCAGAGTTTACAGTATTCAAAGAAAGTCTTAGAGTAGACAAAGATTAGGGTGGGGCAACCGAGTAGTTTATGGGTTAGTAGGAAAGGGTTAGAGCAGGATCAATGAAGGATTCACCGGGAAAAGTGGGGGAGATTATATAAGAATCAGTGAGAGCATTATTTTATAGCAGGAGAGATTTAGAGGGGAGTAATTAATTTATAATGAAGGTTTTACAGATTAAAAGTGATAGTGTGTGGATATTATTTACAGTTTGTTTTACAGGGCGAAAATGAGGCTGCCTTCAGGACAATGGCAGCATTATAGATAAAAAATGCTGTAAGAGATCAGTTGAGTTTGAGGGAGTAAGACTCCTCAGAGACAGGGGTTTGGGGTGGGGGACAGTAGAAGGAGCCAAATGAAAAACCATGGTGGGAGTCATCAAAATGACTGTAGAGAACTTAGAGGAAGTGATAGGAAAATAGGTTACAGAGAGAGAGAGACAGATTATAGGACCAGAAAGTGGGGAGTACTAATGGACATGAAGATTTTTAAACAAGCATAGAGAGAGGTTAGAGAGGACATAATGGGAATTACAGGAAGTCAATAATGAGAAGTTTAAAGGGAGACAATGAAGATTTTATAGGAACCAAGAAGAAATGCATTAGGGTAAAAAGTGAGGGAATGGGAAGGAATGGCAGAGTCCAGAAGCCATACTCACCCAATCCACTCTCTGCCCACCAGGTGGTTGAATAAATGACCGATAATCTCAAGGATGGCAGGACATGACGGAGGGAAGCCCGATGACTACTTAATCTTATCAATCGTGGCTATCATTTGCTTCTGGCCCCTAGGAATTCCAGCCTTGATCTTTTCATACAAGGTGGGAATCTCCATGATGCCAAACCACATCCTCCCTCTCCCTCTTGGCCCTGACCCTGACTCAGGTTCTTCCCTGTTCTCCATCGCATCCAGGGAACCTGAGCTAAGGTTCAGACCCCACACTGGGTCCTGACAGTCCCACAGCTTCATATACCCTTTCATGCTTATCTTTTTCTGTTTCCTCTCCCCTGAAACTCAGACGGCAAACTACAATCAAAAAAGACAATATGGCAAGGCAGCCAAGACCTCTGAAATAACCTTCTACTTGTCCATCGCAGCCATTATTTTGTTGGTTGTGCCACTCTTCATTATAATCTTGATGTCATTGCTAAAGAAGTGACCTCATTCTCACCACAAGAACTAACCACCAAATACATGCAATAATATAACAAAACACTGTGTTTTAGTCGGTTTTTTTGTTTGTTTGTTTGTTTTCCACCGTGAGCTAAAGACCCAACAAGAACAACACAGAAGAGGAAATGTTTATATGGGGTTCATGGTTTCCCAGGTCTCAGTCTGAAAATGGCCAAATCTATTGCTCTGGGCCCATGGTGACATAAAAGAGTGTAGCAGAAGAAAGTGTGGCAAGAGGGCTTTGTTCATCAGGGACCCCAGAGACCTATCTCCTGGAGACATACCCTTCCTGCCTGCAGTTACCAGCCAGTTAATCAGCGCACTGATTAGCTAAGGCTCTCATAACCCGATCATTTCACCTCAGTCTCTTTCACATGAGTTTGTGGGGACACGTCACATCTATCTATACCATGAAAATCTAGCAGTAAATACCTATTTATGATGAATGAGACACTTGCTCCTCAGTGTTTGAAGAGACAAATCATTTGAGATCTGGAAAAAAAAATTTCTTCCTACTCTTGCTCACTATTCAAACAACAGACCAACACCAGGAAATGTGGGGAGATTGCTCCACACACCAACCAAGCAATTCTGACAACCTGATTCTCCAACACACCAATTCGGTACCTAAATTTGATTCAGTTCTATTTGGAATGTACACTTCCTCCTGGATTGTGGATATTCATGGAGGAGACCAAGAACAAAGCCAAGGGTTGTGGCTCAGCGGTAGAGCACTTGCCTAGCATGTGTGAGGCACTGGGTTTGATTCTCAGCACCACATATAAGTAAATAAAGGCCCATCAATGACTGAAAAAAAAAAACCCACAAAGCCAAGGCTTGGCAGCAAAAAGCCAAATGCCTCAAGCAGTATCCAGCTAATATGGATGCTGGGTGGAGATCTGGTCCAGGAGTTAAGAGGGCAGAAGCTCCACTGGGAGATGAGTTTTGTCCCCTGCTGTGCACCATCACTAGACAGGAAGAATGGTGCAGGGGTGAGGGAGAGACAGGGTGTCATGGGTAAAGCGGGTACAGAGATAATTGGCTCTGTTGCTCAGAGTATACTGGAGTATACTGGGACAAGCACAGTTTGAGGGAAGAAATAACGCTTGGGCAGAGCAGACAGGCATTCTGACAAGAGGGTGAGGAGATGATTCCATCACACTGAGGAGGGCAAGGAAGGATGTTTTGGGATATGCTAGAATATTTGGGGTTATTATGGAAGAATGGTGAATGTGTCATGGGTGAAGGGGTCTGGTTGAGACAGAGGAGCCATGTCAGGACTGACAAAGCCACATTGGCAGACACTGGCTACATCAGGGCAGGTGGGCTGTTAAAGTGGTTCACTAAGGGTTGTCAGTGACTTTTTAAGCAACATGCAGACCAGATAGGACTGGCTGGGGTTGTCAGAGAGGATCACTGAGGGTATCCTGGGTGGTCAGGGAGAGCATCACAGGAACCAGTCCCTAAGTAATTGCAGATTTGTAAAATCTCCTCTTCCATGCCAAGGAGATCTTACACATGGCAGTGTGGATGGAATAAGAGGTCACTGCAGGTGTTAGGGAGGGTCTTGGATTGTGTCATGGGGCACATGTGTTCTCACTGGGAACCACTGAAGGCTCTCTCTCATGTGCGTTTGGGGAGGATGCTTTCAGCTGCCTGTAGAATGTTAAGGAGACATCATATTTGATTTAGCAAGTCAGGGTTTTAGTGTGAAACACATTAGCAGGACAGAGGGAGATTAGTTGGCCTTGGTGAACATAAAGGAAAAGTCTTGCATGAGGTCACTGTGGGGTGATGGGGAACCTTCAGGGTATCCTTAAATGTCAGTGAGGCCTGTAATGGCTCTTTGTGACGACTGCTGGCAGGTCTGTTGGGATTTGTAAAGGCTAATCAAGTGTTTATTATCAAAAGTGAATAAGAAATTCCCCAAGCTTAGTAGCAGGAAGTCCCATCTCACAGGACTGTCCAACTAGAAGGCTGGGCAAGCTGTGGGTCACTGTTTCTGATGAGTCTTATTTCCCTGCTGTGTGAGTGGTGATTTTCTGCTCCAGTTCACCCTGAGGGCTTTGTAGCAACTGGAGTGGTGTCCAGAAATCATTCAGGAACAGGTACACTGTTCATTTGCTAGGGTTCCCAATATAAAACATTAAGACTAGGTAACTTAAAATACAGAAATTTAGCTTCTTACCATTATGGAGACAGGCAGTCCACGATCAAGGCATCAGCAGGTTTGGTTTCTTCTAAGGTCCATCTCCTTGGCTTTCAGATGACTACCATCTTGCAGTCATCCCTCTGTTTTATCTGTGTCCTAAAATCTTATAAGGACACAAGACTAATTGGATTAAAGCCCACCCTACAAAACTCTAACTGAATTACCTCTTTAAAGGCCCTACTCATAATACAGACAACAGTCTGAAGTACTGGGACTAGGGCTTCAACATACAGATTTAGGAAGAGCATAACTCATCCCACGCATCCTTCTTAAGCCTGGAGACATATTTCCAGAATTAGAAATGGGTTCTCGGCACTACATTTTAAAAAAAAGTAAATAAAGATATTTTTAAAAAAAGAAATGGGTTCTATAGTCTAGAAGTAGCCATGTTTTCTGCATAATGTTAAATATATTAATATTTTTTAACCAGTTTCCAGATCCATTTTCATCTTTTTAATAATTTTTTTTAAAAAAAAATTGTAGTTGGACAGCATGCCTTTATTTTATTTGTTTATTTTTTAAAATTTTTTAGTTACACATGGACATGGTATCTTTATTTTGTTTATTTTGCTTTTATGTGGTGCTGAGGATCGAACCCAGTGCTTCACTGGTTCATGGCAAGCACTCTGCCACTGAGCAGCCCTCCATTTTCATCTTTTATAACTGAAATATTGTGCCTATTAAAAAAACAAGTTCCTGTTTCTCTCATTCCCAAGATGCTGTCAAGCATCATTCTATATTCCATCTCTAGGAATCTGACTACTTCTGGTACCTCATAAAATGGAAGTACATAGTATGTGTCTACTTGGGACTGGCTTATTTCACTTACTGTTCTATCCTGGAGATTCATCCATTTTGTAAATGTATCACAATTTCCTTATTTTTAAGGTTGAATAATATTCCCTTGTATGTATATATCACATCTTGTTTATCTGTTCATACATTAATGTACAGTTGCTTCTACCTTTTGCCTACTGTGAATAATGCTGCAACAAATATGGATGTGCAAGTATCTCTTAGATACCCTATTTTTAAATATATATATACACACACTTAGAAGTAGGATTGCTTGATAATATGACAATTCTCTAAGAAAGGAATAGTTCATCTTTTTCTTTTTACTTTTTTTTTTTTTT